AAGGGGGGCAGAGGAGTGTCTGAGCCTGAGGGGGTGGGGGGCTGGTCAAGGCACTTCAGGCTGCCAGGCCAGTGGACGATGGCAGCTCTTAGTGTCTGGGCTCTGGAACCCTATAGCTAAAATTGCCAGGCCCAAGCCTGGGTGACCTCTGAGTCCCTCTGGGTGCCCTGGGACCACCCTGGGGGCAGACGGAAGGAACAGCCTCCAAGGATGGGCTCCTGGTCCTTTCCTGGCATTCCAGGATTTCTAGAGCCTTGGCATAGTCGAGGGTTTGCAGGGCAGCTGGAATGACAGATCTCCTGGCCTGGACACAGGCATGGCCCTCGAAGACCCTCCCCAGGGCTCCTGGGTGATAAGGAAGCCCCCACAAGAGGTGAGCAAGGCAGAGGCCCCACAAGAGTATCCGAGGCAGGGGTTGGAGCAATAGCACAGCGGGTAGGGCATTTGCCTTGCATGCGGCCAACCCAGGTTCGATTCCCAGCATCCCATAGGGTCCCCTGAGTACCGCCAGGAGTGATTCCTGAGTTCAGAGCCAGGAGTAACCCCTGAGCATTGCTGGGTGTGACCCAAAAAGCAAAAAAAAAAAAAAAAAAAAAAAAAAAGAAAGAAAGAAAGAAAGAGTATCCAAGGCAGTTTGGGCCTAAGCCTGTGCGACCCCGAGTGAGTGTCCTGACCCCAGGCCGTGGCCACCCCATCTGTGAGCGGGTGAGTGGGGGTGAGCAGAGGGGGCACGCCGGCCGCCCCCACGGGGGAAGGTAAGTCTCTGGGGATTCCCGACTTGCTCTTTCAATGAGGGCAGGCGTGACTCCGGCTCCGGCCCCCCAGGTGAGCCCCCCCCTCAGATATTTCCCATCCTTGGCGGGCTGGTCAGCGGCCCCTAGACCACAGAGTTCCGGACAAGCCAGCAACGGAGTGAGCACAAACACGCGTCTATTTGTTTGGAATTCCGATCTTGGCTGCGCCCCCAAAGGCGAGTGGCAGAGGCCCAGCCCCCGCCCCTCGCCGCTGCTTGAGAAAACTCCAGAAAGTTCCTTCTCAGACTTCTCATCCCTCTGATGTGCTGCTCCAGGCTGCTTGAGGGAAGAGACAGGAGGTGGGAAGCGCCAGCCGCCCTCCCCTCCTTGCCTCTTCCCCCCACCCTGCACCACTGCCCCCCTGGTCCCCAACCAGACCAGACCCTGTTCAGGAGGGGTCAAGTGACTCATTGCACACAGGAAGAAGTGGTCCTGGGCTGGGACCTGGGTCATGCCAGCCCCGTGAGAGAGGAAAGATGGAGCGGACGCTCATTTGTGGAATATAAAATAACATAATGGGCTGGAGTGATAGCACAGCGGTAGGACGTTTGCCTTGCACGCAGCCAGCCTGGCCGAGCCGGGTTCGATTCCTCCGCCCCTCTCGGAGAGCCTGGCAAGCTACCCAGAGTATTCAATATGCCAAACACAGTAACAAGAAGTCTCACAATGGAGATGTTCCGGGGCCCGCTCGAGTAAATCGATGAACAACGGGAGGACAGACAGACAGACAGAAAATAACATAATATGAGACGGACAACCAAGGACAGTAGACACAAGGGCCAGGAAGACTGCCCCACAGTGGGAAGTCTGCCTCATGAGCTGGGGGAGAAGGCAGCTGGGATAGAGAAGGGATCACTAAATCGATGATGGTTGGAGGGATCGTTTGGGATGGGAGGTGTGTGCTGAAAGTAGACTAAGGACCGAACGCGATAGCCTCTCGGTATCTGTACTGCAAACCATAATGCCCCAAAGTAGAGAGAGGGTATGGGGGAGACTGTCTGCCATGGAGGCAGGGGGAGGGTGGGAAAGGGGGAATATACTGAGGAGACTGGTGGTGAAGAATGTGCACTGGTGGAGGGATGGGTGTTTGATCATTGTGTGATTGAAACTCAAACATGAAAGCTTGTAACTGTATCTCATGGTGATACAACTGAAAAAAAAAAAGATGGAGGGGGCCAGAGCACAGGTAGGGTAGGAGAGGGCATTTGCCTTGCACGTGACGACCCGGGTTCAATTCCCAGCATCCCATATGGGCCCGTGAGCACTGCCAGGGGTAGTTTCTGAGTGCATGAGCCAGGAGTAACCCCTGTGCATTGCTGGGTATGACCCAAAAAGCCAAAAAAAAAAAAAAAAGATGGAGTGGACAGCCGGCAGTCCTTCCCAGGGCAAGAGATTCACTCCAAGTTACCCAGCAACCAGATCCTGGAGACCCAGGTTAGCTGCCTGGTCAGGGGGACGCCATGCAGCTCCCCCAAGGCCACACACCCCAGCAAGGGGAACAAGCGTGACTTCTAGCATTTTCCACTGGGTGGTGTCGGGTCCCTTGACGGAAAACAGAAACGGGGGTGAAGAGGACCCCCTCTGTCCTTCCGGGAAGGTCCAGTTCCTTCCGCAGGTTCAAAGGGATGGAGCTGGGATGAAAGGTCAACTTTCTTAGATTTTTTTTTTGTCCTGGCAGCGCTGGAACCTTGAGGACTGCTCCCCAGGAGGGGGCGCTGCTGGGGGGGGGATGGTGGAGAGCCGTGGCTGAATCCAGGCTCCCACCAGTGATGCCTGCACTCTGGCCTGGAACTGAGTCCTCCTCGACGACAGGTCAGTGCTGGCTCTGCAGGGGCCCCCATGCCGGGCTTCCTTGCAGAACCTGGGCCACTTCCACACAGTGAATTAAAGGGAATGTCATGTGACTCGTCACTGGGGTGGCGGGCAGAACCCCAGGAGGGGGCTCTGATGGCAGACACTACCATTACCGCCCCCCCCCCCCCCAAGTACTGCCTTTTAGGAAGCCCAGACTCGGAGGGGAAACCGAGGCTCCAGTGATGCTCCACAGGAAAGGTCAGAAGCGAGGTGCCCTGTGCTCCACGGGGACAGAGAGGCCCTGCCGGTGGCCAGGCCAGGAGATGCTCGACTTGGGCCCCGGGGCGTGGGCCCAGAGAAGGAGGAACTCGAAATCATAATTTCTTCTCATCGGGGCACTTGATTTTGAAAAAGGTGGTTTTGTCCAGAGCCAAACATGCCTTTGGAACGGATTGTTTCTGTGCAGAGAAACTGCTCAGGGTAACGTCCCCAGGGCAGGGGCAGACTTCCTGGGCCTGCCTCACCCTTGTTTCTACAAACAGGAGGACCCGGAGAACAGGGTCCAGCCAGAAATGCCCCCCCAGCGCCTGCCCTGGGCAGCCCCAGTATCCTGCAGCAGAGGCCGAGGGGGGCCTCAGCGGGACACGGGCCAGGCCTGCACTTCCCCTGGGCCCTGCTGACACCCACAGACAAACGCCAGGCCAGTGGCCAGTCTCGGGGGGGGGGGGGGGGGAGGGGCCGTCCAGAGACGGTACAGCTGCCCCCGACCTTCCTCCAGAGGCTCCCACATGCGGCCGCCTTGGCCAGCTGCTGTCACCGCCCCCTGTCCCCTCTGTCAGCTCACAGCACTCGGAGCTCCAGCAGCTCCTGTGTCACCCCCCGGGAGGCCCCCATCCCCTGACCCCGTCACACTGCTCATCCCCTCCCCGCCACCGCACTCGGGTCCACTTCTCAGCATCGCGACCTCTGTCGGGGTTGAGGGGCTCCAGGGGCCCAGAGCCTGCGGTGTCCAGGTCACCATGGAGTGTGGCCATGCCAGGAGGCCCCCAAACCTCTCCAGGCCCCTCCAACTGGTAATCAGTGGTCAGCGGTTGCCCAAGATAATCAGCCCTGGACTCTGACCCCAGCCGACCCATTCTCTGCTGTGACGGAACCAGCAGAGGCAAGAACAAAAGAGGGTGGTCCTGCAGGTGGTCCCGAGACGTGTCCCTCACCGTGACTGGAGGGGACCCGAGTGGGTCGCAGCCCTGAATGGGCAGTATTCGGAGGGCTGATAATGGGCCAGAAACAGCCGAACCCTCACCGTGACGACCTTTGCTGTACCAAGGGCAGCTACGGAACCTCAGTGCTGGGTCCCCAAAACCATCAGCTGCGGGTCCCTAAAACCCTAGGCTGTGGGCCCCCGATCCCCTCAGCTGCGAGTCCTGAGCCCTCAGCTAAAGTGCACTGTCTGCTCCGAGGTAAACACAACTTCCTGTCTCTTGTCTTCCTGGGCCATCATGCCTAAGAGGCATCGCACCTGCTAAGGGCACTCGACCAGGAAGTGGTCCTTGCCTGGGGGACCCACCCATCGGGGCGGGGCCCCCCAGAGCCTGGGACGTCTGACTGTCCCAGATGTCCCGCTGTTACAAGTTCGATCTAGATCCGACAGAGCAGCACGTGACCTCCCCATGGGTCAGCGGCTGGGCGGTGGGGACCCGCCTCCCACCCAACAAGGTCCCCGGTGCCACCGGAGCTGGGAGCAGGGAGTAGTCCCGCAGTGAGCCCTGAAGGTGACCCAAAGTTTCCCCTACCTCCTTGCAGGGCCCAGGGCTCCGTGCTCACAGAAGTCACCCAAATAAGAGAGTGCATGGGGGTGACCTAGGGGCACCCAAAAAGAGGGGTGACACGCGGGAGCCCCACAGACATGCCTGCAGAAGCTGAGACAGCGCAGCTGCCCGGGAGCAAGGGTTCCCCTAGGATGAGAGCTGCGGGGCAGGGTTGACCCTGGGCCTTGGGCACAGCGGCTGGGAGCCACTAGGCATGGCGTACACGCCTCTAGGCACTTCCAAAGCCTGATACGGAAACGCGTGAAAATGAACATCTCTGGCCATGAGATAGTTCAAAGTGCTGAGCTGTGTGCTTGGAGGCTGGGGGGCTCCCTGGAACCTCAGGGCCCGGAGCCAGAAGGAGCCCCCACCAGCTGCACCATGCCCCGCTTTCATGAAAGGGAAACTGAGGCCCTTCAATGGGCTCCAGAGCCACGTCATTGGTGCCCCACCCCCTGACCCAGCACTGCAGCTCAGACCCCCATTCCCGGCCCCCTCCTGCCTCTCTGAGTGCCCCGCTGAGCCCTGGCCTCCCCAGCTCTGGGGTAAGAATCCCACGGCGGCCGGGTCCGGGCCCCCCACTCCTTTCATGGTGGCCTCTTACCTTTGGGGTGAGGTACTTGGTCATAATCTCCTTCCCTTTCTCGCCCAGTTTTTCATCTGGCGTAACTTCATATTCTGCCTAGAACAGGGGGAGAAAAAAAAAAAGGGAAAGAACAATGACAGGTGCTCAGAGTCTCAGGGGCTGGGGGCATGTGCAGAAACCTAGGGGCGTCCAGCTGACTGAGCCCCACAGTGCGGGGTCGGCAGACCAGACCTGCCTCCTGGCACTTACACAGGGCCTGGGGTGTCAGCACCCGGTCCAGATGAGCCAAAACCCCTCCCAGTCCTGCAGACCAGGCCTCAGGGCCCTGGAGCTGAGCAAAGGGGACAGGAGAACTAGGAGCTTGCTCTGAAAAGGCCCCGGTGGGTGACAAGCTGGTTTAGGGCCTCATATAAAGGCCTAGACCCCCGACAACAAGCAGAGGGGCTGGAACGACAGTACAGTGGGTAAAGCACTCGCCTTGCACACAACAGACCCACATGGTCCCCTGAGCCGGGCCGGGAGTGATTCCTGAGTGCAGAGTCAGGAGGAAGCCCTAAGCATCACCCCATGTGGTTCCAGAGCCAAAGCAAACAGAAGTAAACAAAAACACAGAGGGGACAGTTCTAAGTGCAGGGCAGAGGCACCAGGGGACGCGAGCACACGGCCGGCCAGTACCACGCAGCCAGTAAAGACAGAGACGCGGCACAGAGGGAGGGCGAGGCCGACCCCTGGCACCCCATGCCCCCAGCACCACTAGGAGTGGTCCCTGGACACTGCCGGGTGTGATCCCAACATCTGCCCCCCTACACCTCCACCCCGGTTCCCGAGTCAGGATGCAGAGTCCAGTGTCACCCCAGGAAGGTGACCGCTGAGCATGTTCCCACCAGGACGGGCCTCCCACTTGGCCTCCCGCTCGCTCCTGCAAGTAGAACCGTCTGGATCTGAGGGCCCCCGGGGACTCCAGCCACCCCATGCACAGGGCTGGACACTAAGACTTGGGCAAAGTCAAGACTGGACACTGGCCCCTGAAGCACCAAAGCTTCGCTGTGGTGGCCACACCCTTTCCCCATGAGAAGCGCCTAGGGCTGGCACATCTCCCTCCTCCTGCTCCTCCTCCTCCTCCTCTTCCTCCTCCTCTCCTTCCTAGTCGGCTGTGGTGCTCCCCAGCTGGCGGCTGCAGTGCTCGCTGGGCCCTTCCCTGTCCAGTGCTCCTTCACCCGCTGGGCTCACAGAGCAAGGAATGGTACCCCCACAGATGGCCACGGTCCGCACCCTTCAAGCCACAGTCTTTACACACAATCTCCAGGTCCACACTCCACACCTGCTACTGCTGCTGGCCATGCTTGCCGGGGAAGGCCAGGGCCCTCAGCCACACACTCCCGAGCTGTGGCACTTCCTGGCCACGGCGCCCGGGCCAAGCATTGGCCACGTGGCTAGCTGGGAGGGGGCACTTCTTCCTCCGTGACGCTTGCACAGACCTGATTGCGGGCATCAGGGCTCACGGATAGCAAAGGTGCTTTGAACACGTGGGACACCGGGATTCGAACCCGTGGCAAAGGCACATTCCTCCAGTGCTAGCACAGGAACTGATGACTCGATTAATTGTTCGGGTTTGGGGTCACACCTGACGATACTCCGAGCTTGCTCCTGGCAGGGCTCAGGGGATCATATGGCACGTGGGCAATCGACACCAGTTTGGCATGTGCCAGGCAAGCACCCTCCCCGCTGTGCCCTCTTGGGCCCCCATTCATCATTTCTTGCTTTTTTTTTCTTTTCTTTTTGGGTCACTCCCAGCAATGTACAGGGATTACTCCTGGCTCTGCCCTCAGGAACTACTGGAAGTGCTCGGGGGACCATATAGGATTTCTTTTTTTTTTCATGATTTCTTTTTTTTTTTTTCTGGGTCACTCCCAGTGATGCACAGGGATTACTCCTGGCTCTGCACTCAGGAACTACTCCTGGCGGTGCTCGGGGGACCGTATGGGATGCTGGGAATCGAACCCGGGTCAGCCGCGTGCAAGGCAAACACCCTCCCCACTGTGCTATCGCTTCAGCCCCATCCATTCTCAATTTCTTAACATCGTTCTAAGAGAGACAGTGGTGCTTCCTTCTGGATGTTCTCCCATAACTTTCCCTTCTTCCCTCTGAGCTAACACACAGGGTGTACGCCTGCCCCTCCTCACCTCATACCCCACCCCTGCGAGCAAAGAAATGCGGTTACAGGCACAGGAAGGGGTGACCATCCCCAACTTACAGATGACAGAGGATGCAGGGTAGAAAGAGCTCACAGGGCAAGATGGGGGGGGGGGGCTAAATCTTGGGCAGGAGTGGGGGTGATCTAGAGCACAGCGGGGTGGGACGCTCTAGCCGGCTACCCTGGAACCAGCTGAGGGAGCTGGTCCCAGGGGATTCGACCCAGCAGCCCGCACTGTGGGTCCCAGGCCCCCTTAGAGGGTGGGTGGGTCCCAGCGGGCCTCCCTCAGCCCCCCAGCGCCCGGGCCTGCATCTGCCCCGTCCCCAGACCCATCTGTGCAGGCGGCCCTGTTTGACCAGACGGAGGCCTGAGGCGGGCTCGCGGCTCAGCCTCGGAAACCGGCTGAAAATATTATTGCTCCGGGTACTAAAACCCACGCTAAGAAAAATAACATCACTTTCAGGCCGGGGAGGCGGCCGGGAGCATGCGGGGACAGGCCTCGCCCTGGCTCAAAAGGCCTTTCTTTGAGAGTCCACGTCAGGTCACCGCAACCTGGACGGCGTTTGTGTGGGGAGGCGGCTGACCAGCCGACGGCGTCCAGCTGGGCTCCGGCCCTGATTAAGTCACCCCGAGTGACAGCCCTGTTTCCGCAGTGACCCACCCCGCCCCCCACCATCCCTGGCTCTTTCTGGAGGGGACGAGGCCTGAGCTCCACCCCCGACAGCGCCCGGGGGCCCCACCCCGTGCACGAGCCTCCGCCCCAGAAAGAAGGGGACCCGCTGTGGGGACCCCACGGCAGTGAGGGGCAATGGTAGCTGAAATGGGCTCCGAGCAGCCAAGGCGAGGCCGGCCCGCAGCCTGGAATCTGCAATTAGTGCTGGCCCGGGCAGTGGCCTGCAGCAATGACTTCGATGGGAAGCCGGGGACCCTGGCTGTGAGCAGTGCCCGCTGAGGGCTCCACCCTCCAAACAGGGGCAGGGTGGGGGCTGGCCTGGCTGCCCCCCCCCCCCCCGTCTCATGCCCTCTATGGCTTGACCACACGTGCGTCCCCTTGGCGAGGCCCGCTGGGACCTCCTCTTGTCCTGCGCACAACCCAAAGGGGACTGTCCCGTCCCCGGGGCCAGGGGAGGGGGACGCAACCGTGAGGGCTGCCTCTCTGCACCCTGAATAATTCTCCCCTGAGGGTGGCTTTGGCGGGAGGCCACGACAGGACCCTGTTCTGGGCACCGTCTGTGCCAGCCTGGCCCACGCCCGCCCCTGCCTCCTTCCGGCCAGCACCATGGCGCCACTTAGCTTAGATGGTGCCCACGAAAACACGTCCTGGGGGAGGAAACCCCCTCCCCCAGCACCGCCCCCAAGAGGTATGACAGCAGATAACGGGGCGGGGGGGGAACAGTACAGCAGGTAGGATGTTTGCCTGGCACGTGACTGACCCGGGTTCGATCCCCGGCACCCCATCTGGCTCCTTCATCACCGCCAGGAGGGATCCCTGAGCGCAGAGAGTCTGGAGTCAGCCCTGAGCACCTGTGGGTGTGGCCCCCAAACCAAAATCAATCAAGCAACCCACCAGAAAATAACAGGCCAGTGGTGTGCTAGGTCCGGCCAAGCCCCCAGCTGAGGGCCCACGTGGCCTCCAGGCACTCTGATGTCCTCTCCGGGTCCCCGGCCTGGCAGGAAGATGAGGTCAGGCCGCTCTAAGGTCTCCCTGGAACCCCCTCACGGTGCTGTTAGCTTTTCCAGTCCTTGTGGTGGTGGGAAGGAGTGACGTGCCCAGCTGGCAGTGCCACTCGCCACGGCCCTTTCGGGAGAAACACCGGCTCCGCCCATCCTGGCCCGGGCCTGGCCAGCGCTGTCCATGAGGGCTGCGGCTCCCCCCGGCAACTCCAGAGCCCCCGACCCCCAAGCTGCAGAGCTTGGAAGGAAGGAAAGGGCCCAGGGTAGGGCTCAGCATCACGGCTCTGAGCTGAGCTCACAAAAGTTGCCAACGTGATTATGATTAGTCTCCCAGGCAGTGCTCACTCGTGGTCAGTGGGCTGTGTGTGGACTCACAGTTCAGTGCTCAGACCCATCACTGTCGTGCTGCTCAGGTCCCGCATCCTTGAAGACTAGGCTACTGTTATGGTACGTTTGGGGCCCACCCCAGCTGTGCTCAGAGG